AGGCACCGGGCACAGGTTGTTTTAACGCTGGGCCCAACTGCAGTATATTTGACGTCCTCCAGGCCCTGCGTCACCCTGTCACTCTGTCACCCCGTGTGTATCTGGCGCTACCCGGTTACATAGCACTTTCCTGCGTCATTTCAGAGTCCCCACAACACCCTGAGACAGACCAGGGCCGTTCTCCTGACTCCCTGCAGGACAGGTGAGGACTTCCACATCCATGTTACTGCCCTTTGCTCTCTACAGGGTGCGTCAAATCAGACTTAAAAGACGGCATCTAAAAAGACAATTACTTCACCACTTTGGTTGTATCCTTAAGAGTTAGAGTGAGAGAGATCGATCTAAATTAGTTTTCTCAGATAAGATATTTTAAAACTCTCAATCTCATGCAAAAAGAAGTTGTGGGGGGAGGGTATAGCTCAGTGGTAGAGCACATGCTTAGCACGCACGAGGTCCAGGACTCAATCCCCAGTACCTCCGTTAAAAAAAAAATAGAAGTTTTTTTGGAAGCAGTGGTACTGTGCTCTTTGGAGAATGAATACATCAAAAACAGTATAATTAAAGCCAGTATGAGAAATACAATGCCCTTAGTGAAAATGCTCCTTTTTATGTTTAAGGGACAGGAAAACTTACCTTTGAATTGAAGGTAACATATTTTGGCGTACACATGTCAGCATTTGTTGAATTCGCACTTATTGTTGAATTAAACTCTGAAACAATGCAGGGAATTTGAAATTTCTTGTAGATAACCTGGTATTAAAAAATAAAGGATGGGGGAGGGTATAGCTTAGTGGTAGAGTGTATGCTTAGCATGCACGAGGCCCTGGCTTTAATTCCCAGTACCTCAGTTAAAAAAAAAAATCTAATTACCCCACTCCAAAATAAATGAATAAATAACAATGTGGGAAAAAAAAAGAACAGGCAAAAGATAATCCTTTAAAGTGCATGAATAAATAAATAAATGAGAAACAACACAGACTCTATCAAATAAAGTCAGATAATGAATAATTATTACATGGCACTGGAGCATGGCAAAACCAAACCCTCTCAATCAGCACTTACCACAATTAGGAAAAAAACCATACAGCTCAAGGAAAATCCACTCGTATAGCCAAGATAGCCTAAAAAAAGTTAAAAAATATTATTGTTATTTCATTCATCACCTCTTTCAAAGCATGGTTTCAAGCATAGTTTGGGGTTCCCGTAATATTCATCCACGCCAATGTGAATACAAGATTTATTATTTGATAGTGCTACTCTTTTGGGTAAAAATGGTGACTTTAAATGAAAACATTATAGTAGTATGTGTTTTGATTCCAGTTTTTCCTGACACACTAGGGAACGCAGATCCCCAGAATCCAGGGGAAAAGAACCTCCCGAGTTTGACCATAGGTCTCTGTTGCTGTACACAGATGGATTCCTATGGCCAAATCCACTTACTCCTTGATCCATTCAATAGTTCTTGATTCTGAACAGGCACAGAGGCGATGAAGGGATTTCTAGGGACACACTGGGCACCCAAGGACCTTTCCCTTGCTCCCCTTAGGGTGCCTGGGAGATCCTCCATAACCTCCGGGAAGGCACAGTTAAGTTCTCTGGGGGCTGCACTTTCTCACCGCTGGGAGAGAACAGCCTTTCCTACCTACACTGAAAAGAGTTATGTGCACATACACAGGAAAGCCTAAACACAGACTCAGAAACCAGAAAATTAAGGAGCTTAAAAAAGTCTGCTTATAGATCTTACAGAAGAGCTATAGAGGCTGGTAGTTTTCATATAAAACAAAACCAAAAACCATGGCTAGTGATCATTTTGGGAGAAACTTTAAACGTCTGCCTTGAATGAGCCCAGAATTCAAGGAAATGTGTTCCAGAGGCCTTGGATGGGATGGCCGTCTGGCCTCGTCAGTGCAGATGTGAAATTCCCGTTAACGTCAGGCACCCTTGTCTCCAGGTGTCAGCATACCCACCAACGTCAAAACCAAATGGACACGGCTTGGTGACTGTCTGCCATTTCTGACTTTCCACTTCTCTCTCTCCCTTCAGTGAGGGAAATAATTGAGACTGGTTAGCCTTTGCTAATTTAAGAGTGGTTCATGATACTTCAAGGAGTACATTTAAGCAACTTTCAGTCTTGACATTAGATTCGCAAATCTGCTTATCTAAGGCATCAGGGTATGTGAGCCCTTGTCTGAGAATTCCATTTCCTGGGCTCTGCTGTTGGAAAGAGCACTGTCTGTTGCTGGTCCCAGGACCTGCCTTGTCCCCTCCACAGATTAGCAGAGTGACTGCCTAGGAAGTCACATACTGACCAGTGTGTTTATCCCATATTAGAGTCGAGCCTGATTAATACTTATAATTTATCACTCACTTAGTCCTTGCCCTGGAAGTGAAAGTAGAGGGCAAGGTCGTTCATTTGTATTAGGTTTCTGATTCATCTGTATTATTGTATGATAAAAGCAAGATCTTTCCTTACCTAAGTTCTTTAAGAGACACAGAGGGAGAATTATGCCAAAGGTAACTACCACCACCAGGACGCGACCATCCAGGTACCAGGCTCTGAAAGGCATTTAAGCAGTTAGGTTATATTTTCTTAGAAAGTGCCTTTTTTTTCCTTATGTGTAAAACTTCACAATATATTTTAATTATTTTTTTTACTATTATTAATGTTTACCATTAATTTTTTTGGTCATTATTCAGGTTTTATCCAAACACTTGAACCCAACCGCTGGTCCTTTACTATCATCTCTCTCCCATGTGATAGAAGAAGGCACATTGCTTTTCTTTTTTTTCCCCTCCCCCCACTGGCTATGTATAGCATTCCTCTGAATTATTTACATGGTTTCAAAGCTGAACGCACACATGCATTCTGTCAGATTACAACTTGTCTCATCAATTATTTAAAAAGAATGTTCCTTTTTGTTTTGCTTGCCTAATATCATCGAAAAACAAGTCACCACAGGTAGGCATGGCTTTCTCCCTAATCTCTTGTGTGTGACCTTGAATCCTGATGACAGAACACTAGAAACTCTGGCTTCTACGATTCTCCCTTGAAAGAAAACAGAGAAATTAAGACTGACAAGAACTGCTAAACGAAGAGGTAGTCAAAACACAAGGACGTGCCAATGGCAGCCGCAGCATTTTCCAAGGTTAGCTGCATCTTTAATGAGGTTGGCTCATGTCAAGTCTGCTCCCCAAATGCTCCGTCCCTTCCGTAAGAGACTCCGGTCTTAATTTGGCATGTTCCACTTCTGTGTTAAAAATACTCCATATCTGGTCTGGTTCATAGAAACTAGATGTAGATTTCAGGCTCACAGGAAAATGCAGCAACTACCATTTACAGTGTGAGTGATGAATCTACTTTTCACTTATTTATTTTTGTTTGTTTGGTTTTGGTTTTTTTTTTTTTTGGCAAGGGGGTGGAATTAGGTTTACTTATTTGTATGTTTTTTTGTTTTTAGAGGAGGTAATGGGGCTTGAACCCAGGATCTCATGCATGCACTCTACCACTTAGGCTACACCCTCCCCACCTTGAATCTACCTTTTAAATGCTCATATTCAAATGGCTCTCCCTGCTTCTTTTTTATATAACCGACCCCAGAAACAACAAACTGAGAAGAAAAAAAAAAAACAAAACAGCCTAGGGAAACTAAGTTTCTGCAGTTTTCATAAACCAAAAACTTCAGTTAACCCACATTTCCATCAAAAGCATTTTAGTGATCTCACACACACAAAAAGGGGCTATTACTTACGAAAATGCCTCTTCCTTTCCCATTAGGAACTTTATGGCAGAGGGTAGTTCATTTTTTACTATGAAGAGGTAACTCAGCATTGCTAGAGGAAAATGAGGACATTTTTAGAAAGACGATACTGGGGCTCAGGTTGCAAGCCATAGAGAAGGTTACCAGCCTGTTCCTAGACTGGCCTTCAGTACGACACAGACAGCTGGAGATGCTGTCCAAGATCCTCGCTTGTAAGTAAGTGACTGCCATCTCTGTTTCCCTGTCCACGCGCCGTTTTAGCAATGAGAATGATACTGCTGGGGTTACGTTAAAACTCACGTGGCCACCCAACCCCCGGGATTAGAGAAGATGGTAATTTTCACATACTTTCAATCTCTGTATAGCAAAACACGATCTCTTTACCTCCAGTGTTCTGCAGAGAGGTGGCTCCAAAGATGACGAGTTTCCCTGTGGTGCCAAAGACCTGCTCTCCCAGCTTTTCATAAACCATGCAGCCTGTTTAAAAACCATGGTTGAGAATAGTTGAGAATACAAGAAATGACACGATTCCCTATGTTAAAAATGGCCAAGATTTCATCACCCTGTGGACTGTTCCCCAAGTTATTTTGGTCTTTATCAGAATCACACAAAGAGCCTTCTTGGCTTTGCAAGAATTAAAGCATTCTCACGACAAAGCAACCTCTTGACATTTAATTTAATTTATTTAATTAATTTTTCTTCCCTTTTTATTTTTTATTAGTTTTTATTTGGGGGGAGGTGAGTAGGTTTATTTACTTACATATGTGTGTGTGTGTGTGCGTGTGCGTGCGTGTGTACATATATATATTTTTAATGGAAGTACTGGGAATTGAACCCAGGACCTCATGCATGCTAAGCATGCGCTCTACCACGGAGCAATACCTTCCCCTGCCTTGACATTTTAAAGTGTCAGACATGGGCACCATTTCTTCTTTTTCAGGTTGGCCACAAAAGCATTACAAATAAATAATTAGTTCATAAGCCTTATGTTTTCACTAGCTCAAAAGTCTCTCTGCTTTACTAGGGGGAAATTCCCACTCTGATCATATTCTCAGGTCTGGTAAGTATCAGGAATGTAAAGACTTGATTTAAAAACAAAAATCCTGATGGCTGGGAAGGAAGGTTCCTTTTGAATTAATTACCTGAACTGATTAGACTAACAAGGAATTGTCTTAATAATATTCCAACAATGTCTCATGTATCCGAAATACCATAACAGCTGAGAAACAGGTAATAACCACGACATCAGAATTCTGATTTTAGTAAAATTTAGTTCAAAGATTTGTGACTCACAAAAAAAAAAAAAAGAGAGAGAGAGCACAGATAAAGGCCTCCAAAAAAACTAATCTGGCGACACCAGAATTCTAGGGTTCAACTGGTTCATCTCAATAAACACTAAAATTTAAACCATTCATTAACAAACGTGTTTATATTTCTTTGTAACGGTTCAGTTCACATTTTCAGGAGGTTCACCAAAAGCAATATGGGTCAGACTATAATTAAATTTTTGTTTAATCTCTCATAAGACTGGTGTTTAAACTAGACAATGGTTAGATTTTCAGTTTATTACAAAATGTTCCAGTTAAATGGAATTGTCTATATACAATAATAGCCGGCCCATGTGGTTTTATCTCATGTAAAAGTCAAATATTACAAACATAATCCAGTATCCCAGGGGTAGAAAATAAACACTTCAGGTATTACACTGCCCAGAGAACTCGAAGTCTTTTCATAGCACGCTGGCTGCCACGTTGCCTTGGGAGGAACATTTTCTCCTTGGAATATGCACAGAAGAGAATGAAAGCCCTGTGACCTTTCAAAATCTTGGAGGCTGTGACATAAAAACATGGGATCCTCGTTCTGAAGTTATAAAGACCTAAGGAAACACGGAGGCCTGTAAAACGAAGTCATCTTAAACTAGAAAAGCAGGCACAACTGGGGGTTCTCTTTAAATGACAATGTGATTTGCTCACTGATCATAATTCAATTTCTGTGCTGCTGTAGTCACTTCTCTAGGTAAACACCGCTACAGGTCTTCCAGCGATCACAGGTCAAAGTACTCATTTTCTTTAATAACCAAGTGGCTGAACAGGGAGAGAGGATCCTTTGTTCACAACATCACCACGAGAGGCATTTACCCCGGCTTTGCAAAATGAGACGTGCTCCCACAGCTTACCTGTTTCCTTTGAACAGATCAACAGAAGGTTGATTGAATATATAGACAGCAGCGTTACTGAAGTCAGAAGTACCCTAAAGCAAAGAAAATAAGGCTTGTGACACCTATAAAGAACACAGACTCTGACCTCACCCTGCAGAGGGGCAAAGGCTTATTTACATGTGACGTGGTTGATCCTGTTCATTGAGAGTATCCAAATATTGGAGCCCATGAGTCACATCCTCCTTAAAATCCTCAATAAAGACCTTCTACCAAGTAAAGAACTGCCCATTAGAATGTAACTCCGGGAATTCACATCCTTAATATAATTCTAAGCTCTCTGGGATCATTTCAGTTGAGGTGACTTTAAAACAACTTTATGGAAGAAAGCTTTTGTAGTCTACGGTGCACTTTCTGTTACGACTGAAAGAGAAAGTTCAAGAATGGGGGTAGGGTGCTGAGGGAAAGGCTTGCAGTGACCCTCAGGTCAGTGACCATGTGACTTTGGGCATTTGCTCAATTTCTCCCACCCCTAGACTCCTCACCTAGCACATAAAGCCACATGGTGTCTAGGATTCTTTTCATCTAATTACTCTGGCTACATTTGAATCTACACATTGGACCCCTGAGATAATTCACTTTTTTTTTTTTTGCACTTGGTTCCTCTTAAAAGAATAAGCACCGCTTTTAACTGATGGGAAAATTGTGACAATCAAGCCTAACGAACGAAAAGACCTTCTTGAATGACAAACTCCTGTTTTGGTTTTTGTACATCTGGCTCATTATCAAACTTTTCTCAAGAAAAAGTACAGTCAAAACGATGTGGGAGATGACACAGATTATTTCTGAATCATTTGGTTAAAACAGACATAATCATTGAAAACTAAAGCCTATTGATTACAAAGAGAAAAAAACGTTCTGGTCCCCAAGATGAAACCGCTGATTTCCTGATGCAGGGAAACACAGCCCGAGAACAACGCATTCCTGCCACAGAGCGCGTGCTGGAGTAATGAAGGCAATTATTTCTCCCCCCCCCCCCCGCAAGTGCTGTTGAATGATGCTCGGCACCCGGTGCAATGCTCTTGGCTTGGGCTCCTTCCCAGCCCTCCCCCAACCCCGCACACCTGTGGAACCACCTCCTCCGTGCCTTCCCCACCCCCAGGCAGAAAGATAGCTTCTTCACTTCCTCCTGCCTCATGGCATTTTGTTTCTCATTTTATTTGTCCTAAGGGGACTAAGGGGAGAGGAACAAGGGAGCACAGAATGATTGACTGCAGAGCAGATGCACCGCCCCGAGATTGGCCAGAGAAACATAAAAGAGGGACGGAGCTGGGCAGGGGTACAACAAACACTGGGAGAAAGAACAGAAAACCTAACGCCTGGGGTGCATGTCCCACTGACCAGCTAATAAAGGGGAACTGGGGTTAAGATATGACTGTAAGGAAGTGTACTCAGTTACATATCAACTGATCCCCGAGTAGGAGGATGAGTAAGAGGGTAAGTCCCTTATTGTCTCTTCCGGTTGAGGGACATGAAACACTGAGGGCAAGCAGTGCTTAACCCACCCAGGAGTTTTGAGATATGTAACGGAACATGATTTGATGTGCTCTGCCAGAGAACGAGGTACAGGACACAAGTGTGGTACAATTCTTCTTTCATCTCGTAAGACAAAAAGTATTTATGTTGAAGCAGCAAGCCTGGAGTGTCACTCGGGGTTCACTCAGCTTGACTCAGAACCCTATGGGGCAACTTCTACACATGCATGGGACAGGCCAGAGGATATTTCTGTGCGGCACAGAAGAGCCTGGGCGTCTCAACTGGGGACAGAATGGAAGCAATCTGTAGGGTTAACCACGTGCTGCTCCACAGTGACCATGTCCCCTGTTGAATCGGTTCTCCTGGGACTGATCTGGGGAGGAAAGGCCGTGTTACCACGGGGCCCCAGGCTAATGAGTAAAGAGTGTGACTTTTCAAAACTTGCAGAAGGAAGAATTACTAGCATCTGCCTACAGGTTAACCAAAGGCCCTAAGCCTGGGAGAACGGGGTACTTCTTGCAAAAGAAACATTCTAAGGAACATCTGTTCCCCCAGCTCAGAGCCCCGGGGACCGCATGTCTCTGAGCATGGCTGCCTCTCACCCGCTTTGCTGGGTTGGATTTCTTTGTAGAAGATGCCCCGCTGGCCCGTGGCCCTCAGCAAAAGGGAAAAGATTTCTTCATAAACTCACAGCACCTCACTTTCTTTTCCAAGTGGGAGAAAAGTGTTTATCAGAGAAGAATTTAGCAGGGAGGCTCACCTATCTTCTGCCCCAGACTTAACAGAATGATCCTCCCACGGTGATGACAACAAGCCCTTTGCTTCCATGTCAGGGAGACCTCACGCTGTAGCCCCAACCAAAGGACCCGTTGAAGAGGCTTTTCTTCATCCCTCCCAGCATATGGATCCTCCCTTCCAAGACTGAAAACTAATAGAAAACAATGGTATTTTTCTATCGGGTCACTAAGAAGCAAACTCTGTATGTAAAATTCTCAGACTGCTTTAGCCTGTAACAGATTCTAGCTCTAATAGGATTAAAATTCAGAAAAGTTCATCTCCCTATTTAGACTTTTTGGAAAGAAGCAATAAGTTATCCAATTGGTTATAATAAATACTAGAATAGTTCAAGAGGATCCACTTGACACTGGAGGAATGACAAGAGAATGTAATCACTTATTTGAACATTTCTTCTATTTGAGCATGATTGTGACCCGATTTGTCCAATTAGATATTTGTATACAGAGTTTGTTTTCCTGTGCTAAGAGGAACAGAAGTGATTCTTTAAAAAAAAAATTTTTTTTTAATTGCAGTCTAGTTGATTTACAATGTCGTGGTAGTTTCCAGTGTCCAGCACAGAGATTCAGTTATACATACATATATATATTCTTTTTCTGCATTTTCATTATAGGTTATTACAAGCTATTGAATACAGTTCCCTGTGGTACACAGTTGGACCTTTTTGTTTATCTATTTTGCATATGGTAGTTTGTAGAAAAGTGACTCATGTTTTCATTTCATCTGGGTATCATGTAAGTTTTCACATCACTAACCACTGACCAAAAGTTTGAAGATGGCTGGGGCACAAGGTACTTGCTGGAAAAGGCACATTTCAATGGGAACCAAACCTCAGCATGAGGCAATTGAGTTGTCAAGGTATTGATATTTCAGACTTATGTTCCGCCTTGAAGAGAAGGGGGTCTAGAACAGATAATAGGGAACAGAGAACAGGGCCCTGGAGGAGCAGCAGCAGGAGAGGTAGTCTTGTGAAGAATGAGGTCAGGGATTTTGAGGACCCTCGTGTCAGAGACACTTTGAAGAAATGTGGTGCAGGGAAATCCTGGTAAATTTCAGGCCCCGTGAGAAGAAAGAGGCTTGTTAGGAAACAGAATTCTAGGCTCCTGGATGTGGGGGAGACCTTTAGAGACTACCCTGTCCAGCTTTTCACCAGGGACAGTGCCAACACAACCTTGTGCCAACAAACATCAGGTCTGCAAAGTGTCTTCTGACAGGGGACACACATGCAGCCCATCCTGTTTCTGGAAAGTGCTGTGCACTGGAACTGAGGCAGAGCTAAAACTGCTGCTGCTATTTCTATCCTGGGTTCTTATTTTACCCTCTGGACCTACATGAATCTATGTGAAATCTAAACCCCTCTTCCACCTCGAAGTCCATCTGATGGTGCTCATTTTAAGACTGTGCTCTTTGACTCAGACATCTCCAGGACTTTCTGCTGTTCATCCTGTGACGGTGTGTTCAGACTGTTCACATCTCAGCCGTGGTCCAGCCTCTCAGCCATCCTTTGTAACGGCTGTGTGCCAAGGAGAGCACAATGCTCTCACATTAGTTGGGATCCAAACAGTGCAAAGCACAGCGAGATGACTAATTTGAGTTGGACATCCTGCTTCTTTTAAGGCAGCCTGGTTTGGTTTTCATTTGTATGGAAGCATGTCACACTTTGCATTGTTACTGAGGTTCTGGGAGGGGTTATTGGGCCAATCTTCCTGGTTCTATCCTGTGTACTTTTTTTTTTCAAAGTCAAGTGCAAGGCTCTGCCCTTATTTCCATTGCCTTTTTTCTTGTGAGATCTTTTGAAATTGTCGATCCTTTGGACTTACGTACCAGCTACCCCATCCAGCTTCCTTAACTTGTCTACCTTCATCCAAATCGTTGGTTCTAACTCTGAATGGAAAAAGACCACGTGGAAAATGGCCCATCATCCAGTCAGCTACTCCAGCCAGACACCTGGAAGTCATCCTTGACCTCTCATCTACTCTCTCATCCTTCATATCGAATTCTATGCTCAATGCCTCCAAAATAGATCCCAAATCTATATGCTTCTTTTCCCCATCTCCATGGCCACTACTCTAATCCGAGGCTCTACCACCTTTAATTTCTGGGCAACTGTGATAGTCTCAGCCTGTCTACCTTTTCTTGCCCCTCCTGATCCAGCAGCCAGAAGAAATGTTTTATTTTATTGCTTGATTATGTTTCTCCATCACTAGACTGTAGGACAGGTCATGATGGTTTCATTCACAGTCCTAGCCTGTCCTATTTCCCTACTTACATACAATACCAAACAGCACGAAGCAGACTCTTAATTAACAAGGAGTGAATTTACAAATATTAGAATCTCATTCCTAAGTCATGTGAGACTCTGCCAAATATCTTGCTAAAATCAAGGTACACTCTGCCCAGGCCAGTCCTGTGACTTATCAGTTCACACTCTTATCTCAGAAGATAAAGTTAGTTTAGCATGACTATTTAGGAAAAACCTTATTTGCCCCCACAGAGCCGTATCTTCTGCAGTAATTGCACATAAATAAGCTATTTGATCATTTGCTCTAGAACACCGCTTGGGGACCTACTTTTTATCATTTTTGAAAGCCAGGATGAAATTTGCCCATTTCCAGTCCTCTGGTAAAACTCCACTACTTCTTCAACACTCCTAGATATTCCTTGCTCTATTTGCTGCAAGAAAACATTGACTCCTGCCTTAAACAATGAACATCTAAATGTCTGTCTTAAAAACATTCATCTGTCATTGTTTTGACTCATATCG